AGTGGGTGTGGTTTGGGCTTTGCTTCTGTGAAGACTGACAGCCTTGGAGACCCTGTGGGCAGTTCCACTCTGTCCTCTAGGGGCGCTGTGAATTGATGGACTTTTTTTAAGGTGCAGGGAAGCCCTACAGACCTGAAGTAGGACCCCACTGCCAGCATCTCAGCCCTGCCATTAGCCAGCCAAGAGTCCATGTTACTACAACATTCTCCCCCGAGAGAAAAGGATTGCAGACAATAGAGAATAAGAGACGGAAAGCCTGAGGAATTTCAGTATGGTTGAGCACATTTCAATGAGGCCAGTTCATTCAGTCTTCCAACCGCTTTCATGGAGGACCTAGGGTGTCAGGCACTGAGAAGCCAACGGCATTGGTTCCCAGGGCCACCACAACAAAGGACCACAAGCCAAATGGCCCACAAGGACGACACCCAGAAGTCTGGAATTGCGGATTCCTGCACCGATTCCTCCTGAGGCTCCGAGAGACCCTGTGCCATGCCTCGCTCCCAGCTCCTGTGGTGGCCAATGAGACCTGGGTTCCCTGGTTGTAAACACACTTCAGCGGCTGTCCCATCTTCTCACGGCTGCCTTCTGTCCCTGTGTCTCTGAGTCTCCTCTCCTCCCGCAGGATGAGGACACACCCCACCCTGTGTGACCTCACGGGGACTTGTAACATCATCACAGACCCTATTTCCATAGCAGGCCTCGCTCACAGGCACCAGAAGTTAGCACCTGAGTGCACCTTGTGGGGCATACTGCCGTCTGACACCAATGGAGACTGAGAAGCAGCCCCTGCCCACGAGAAACTCATGGCCAAACGGGGTCACAGGCTGGTACCCAGCAGTCACTGCATGGCCAGGCACCATGGGGACACTGAGCATAGACTCAGGGTCCAGTCACAGCAGTTAGGGGAGGCTTCACGGAAAAACCAAGGTTGAGCTGCATCTTGAGGATGGAGTGAAGACAGCAATTGACAAGAGGAAACTTAGAGGCCCAGCAGAGGGGACGCATGTGCAAACACTCAGGCGAGAGGCCACGGTGCAGCCATGGGGCCAGGGACCCTTGGGCTGGGGCTGACTTCTCAGGAGGCAGGAAGCCCCCAACTTCCATTAAGGTGCTTGGGGTGAGTATTGAGAGTTGCCTCAGTCTGAACCTGAATGGCAGTACCCCATTGGGCACCTGCCTGCAGGGGCGCCCGGGCACAGAGCCTGCAGGGGGTGCTTGGGGAGCAGCGTGCTACCTGAGCACAGAGCCCGTGCGTCCGTCTCACCCTCTGACAACCTGTGAAGACAAGCCCTCGGCCCTGGGAGCAGCAGCTCGGCTCAGGAGCAACCTGCCGGTCCCCGCAGCTGTCCACCGCCGTGTGGGCCTCTCCGGGGCACAGTCAAGGCCGCACACAGCCTCTGGCCGCACCCCTGTGCGCCCCGCACCCCTGCAGGCCTCCTCCCCAGAAAAGACCGGGTTTGACCTCCGGTTCCTGAGACAATCGTGCACAGGCATGTATGCCTGTCCGTCAGGGGAGCAGCCAGATTACAAACACACGTGGAGAGGTGCGCTTTCCCCGCCTCCTTTCACCCAAACCCCTTCTCAGGAAGGCAGGTCCTTTTCTGCCCTCCGTGGTGGCAAAAGGTCGGGGAAGAGGACAAGCTGCTGACCAGGTGACTCTTCGAAGCACAGAGCCTGGTGGAGGACCTGGAGATCTGCTCCCATAATGATCGCAGCCAGCAAAACCCTCCAGGTCACAATGACGGTGCCTGAGCACAGCGCCCCCGTCTCTAAGGGATCACTGATGGTTCAGTGGTAGCGGGCAGCTTTGGGGGAGCAGCGGGCAGCCTTGTGTGCAGCGCAGATGGAGAGAAGGCCATGGGGGAGCGCTCTTAGGTTCAGATGTGCTGAGCCCTGACAAGCCCTGCTTCTGGACTCTTCTCTTGTTTCCTGTTGTTCCTGTAGTTTGTTTGATGTGACCCCACGTGGAGACAGCATTGTCCAGTCCCAGTTCTAACGGTGAATACTGCACAGAGGCTGATGACCAGCGGTATTCACAGCACCCAGGGCACGTCTCCCTGTTAATTCTCTGGGGTGTGTCCCCCCACTCTTCCCCTCCCTCCAGCCTCTGGTCACACACTTTTAATTGTCACTCATCTGGACCAGGCAAAGGACCCTGTAGCCTAAGCTCATTGGCCAGATCCAACTTCCTGTAGGGGGCAGGGGGAGAGGAATTGGAAGGAAATATGAGGATTGTTTTATTACCTACATTATAATAGTAACAATAATAAAAGAGCTGTTTAATTTGTAGACTATAAAGTCCTAAACCAAACTGTAGTGAGTAACTAGTAAGTTACCAATAAAGGGCTATGAGCCCTGGCAGTGCAACAGTTGAGCGCTCGGCTGCCAACCATAAGGCTGGCGGTTCAAACCCACCCCAGGGCTCTGAAAGGGAGACTGGTTACAGTCAAGAAACCTCTGAATCAAAATGGCGGTGCCTAAGGACCATGCCGCCCCTTTCTAGGGGGTCATTGGTGTTCGGGCGTGGAGTCCTTGCTTTCCGTCCAGGGAATCTGAGTTCCATCCCTCACCACCGCCCCTCATTGGCAGTCACCCCCCATCTCTCAGCGAAGGCTTGTGTGTTGCTGGGATGCTGGACAGCTTGTAGTGGGGCTTCCAGACGAGGACGGACGAGCAAGAAAGCCTGGGGACCTGCTTCTGAGAACCAGCCATCGGAAACCCTGCAGATCCCCGTGGTCCAATCCCCAAGTGGCGAGGGGATGACACGGTGCCAGGTAGCGGCTTGCTGTGCTGGGCTTGGGGCGCTGGGAGTTGGGGCCAGCGCAACAGCCGCTAACAACAGCCACCACCTTCCTGAGAAGGAAAGTTTGTGACACTGCACTACTTCAGCAGGGGTGCACATGCTGAACCCCGTTCTCAGCAGCTGGAAGAAAGTCACAGGCAACCAGGGTCCCCAGATGGCACCTTGGGGTCCCCAGGTCTGGTCCTTCAGAGCCTCCCAGCCAGGGGCACTCACTCCAAGCGGCCGGCCGGCCACCCTCACGTGTCTTGGGCTGCGGCAGTGCTCAGGACACACGTCCTGTCCTGTGGGCCACTGCAGAAGAGGAAGTGGACAGGAGAGACAGCAGAAAGCCGGAAAAGAGAAGCCAAGGGACCCTGGCCTCGCCACTCCCTTCTCGTTTGTCATAGAGCCGGCGCTAACTCATGACGACCCCACGCACAGCAGAACCAAGCACTGCCCGGTCCAGCCCCTCCCCGTGGTCCTGGTGTGTGGGAGTCTGCTGTTGTGGCTACCGTGCCCATCGTCTCATGAGGCCTCGCTCGTTCTCACTGACCGTCCACTCTGCCGACCAAGATGTCCTCGTGTTCTGAGAGCTGTTTCCTGATGACGTGTCCGGAGAAAACAAGGCAGCGTCCCGTCATTGTCCCTCCCGAGGAGCAGGCTGGCTGCACTTCCGCTAAGACTGATGTGTTCAGTCTGGCGGTCCAAGATGCGCCCAACGACCTTCACCAACCACAGTCCAAACGCTTCAGTGCTTCTCTCCTTCCTTCATTACCCAGCTCTCACATGCACATGAGGTGACTGAAAACAGCATGGCTTGGGTCAGGCGCACCTCAGTCCTCAGAGTGACATCTTTGCTTTCTAAGATTTTAAAGAGGTCTTTTGCAGCAGACTTGCCCCGTGCAATATGTCGTTTGGGTTCCTGACTGCTGCTTCCATGGGTGTTGATTAATGAGCCAAGTAGAATGAAATTGTTGACTTCATTTTTGTCAAAATGACTTCGTGTTTAACAGCCTACCTCCTTCTCAAGGTTACGGGGCATTAATGTGGGAAGGCATCAGGAATGGCTAGGAGGCTGTGTTTGGTGCTTTCCTTTGAGTTGAAGAATTTTGCTCCCAAATTTAAATACAGCGCATGGTGGTTTGGTTTTGTTTTCTCTGGATTGTTTTTTAAGTAAAATATAATAAAAAGTTTAATGAGCAAATTCCTCTAAGCAAATGTGAAACGGCCAATGAGAGTTTCATTGCTTTAAAAAAAAAAACAAAAAAAACCTAGGGGGAGCTAGGAGCTCTGGTGGTGTGTAGTGGTTAGGGCATTTGGCTGCTAACCAAAAGGTCAGTGGTTCAAACCCACCAGCTGCTCTGTGGAAGAAAGATGAGGCAGTCTGCGTCTGTAAAGATTTACCACCTTGGAAACCCGATGGGGGGTGGCTATGAGTCGGAATTGGCTTGATGGCAGTGAGTTTGATTTTGGTTTGAAGGAGTTATTACTGACTTGTTAAGAATTTTGGTCACTGAAGTCACACTTAACAAGTTAGTCACTTAACCTACACGTACAGGTATAAAAGAAATGCTAGCTAAGGTTAGGCAGTCCCAGGCCAGGCAAACAGCAGGATGAGGGGGAGGAGTGTGTCACAATCAGAGGTGCAGGGTAGTGCCTGCCTGGTGGAATGGAGAGCTATTTTTGAAGACACGGATGTGCTGTCTCTAGAATTCGAATCTATACAATCACAAGGTGATGGCTGGGGACTGTGGCCACTCGGAGGTCACGTGACTCTGGTCATATCAAGTAACCATCACATCAGAGCCCATGGGAGTTATAAATACACCACCATCGAGCCCCAGCTGGGTGACAATTGAGTAATGACAATAGAAATAGCACATGTCCATACAATCGTCTCTCCCCTTCCTGAAGAGCTCCACCGATCACTTGCAGGGCCATGGAGAACGGGCCCCAGCCGGTTCCGGGGAGGCTGCAGATCATTCAGACAACGAGCAAAGAGCCTCTTGTCAGAGCTGGGTCCCCGGTACTACAGTTACACGCCGCCTTGGTCTCCGGAGACCTGGACCACCTTACGCCCCTCATGGACCAGTTCTTCCGGGATGCCAATGTGGTGTTTGAGATCCACACGGATGAGGTGGTGTGGCAGGTGAAGTCCGCAGCCACCTTCGGACTGTCAGGTACCCTTGCCGCTTCCAAACCTCAGCTGTCTCCTCGCAAGTGCCCTTCTCGGCACTGTGTGTAGCACACGCCGGGAAGGGACTCCAGGAACGGGAGTTGGCCTGCACGTGTTCTCGGATGTAGACTGTAGGCAACAGGGTGCGAGAGGTCAAAGGGGAAAGGCTGTTGTGGGAACACCTGCCTAATGCTAGTAGTGCCTGCCCTCTTTAAGACTTGCTTGGGTCCCATCAGCCAGGATGTGTGTTGGGCTGCCCGGGGAGGGGCTGGAGAGGAACAGGCATCTCTCCCCAGAGTGTGTCCGGAGCCAGGCCTTGGCGTGCCGCTGTGTGTGCGGCCCTCTCTGAATCTGTGAAGGCCGTGCTGTGGGGTGGCGGTCACACCCTGCATCAACAGAGGAGGGGGCACGATGCCAGTCCTCCCCTGGGACCTGAGGGCCTGAGGTTGGGGGCAGAGGCGAAAAATCAGGGGTCTCTGAGTTGTAGATGTTGGCATTCACCCCTGCCACCTGAACATGGTCGCTCCGTGCTAAGCAGACAGGTAGGTCCCCAGAGAAAGGACCCCTTCCACCTGGAAAGACAGCACAGAAGAGACACACGTGACCCCCAGGACATCTTGGTGGCCCTCTGTAGTGGGTACTCTTCTGCTCGGGTGCCACACATTCCCCAGAGGGGACGAGTGCTGGAATAGGGCTCAAGTAACAAAGCAGCCCTGGCAGATGGGAGGGTTTGAGAATCTGCAGTCGGGGCTTGGGGCAGTGTCCCGTGTCCTTGCCACCTGAGCGCTGGCAGGCAAGGAATGCGGAAGGCCAGCTTCCAAAGGCCCGACACGGTTTACGCCCGGCACGGGAGAAGGGAACAAACCCACCACACTGTGAAAGGGCTGGGGCATTCACAGGGGCCGGCACGTGTGGGGAAGGCCAGTGTCACGTCCGGCCTGGGCTTCCCAGCCCCTAGTGAGGCAGGACATGGCCTCCTCTCCTTGACTGTCCCAGACTTGTGCAGACCTCCCCTCCGACGGCTGTGGCTCTGCTCTTGTTGTTGTCCCCTGCCGTCCAGTCAATCCTGACGCATGTCACTCCCAGGTGTGCGGGGTAGAACTGCTCCGTAGAGTTTTCAAGGGGGTGCCCTTTCAGAGGCTGGCCGCCAGCCTGTCTCCCAAGACACTGCTGGGAGGTTTCCAACCGCCAGCTTTTCAGCTAGGCGTCAAGCCCTTCTCTGTGCCACCTCCTTCTGCTTGAATGTTCACCCTGGACACACTCACACAAACGTCCCAGTGTCTAAGCGGTGCTCCGTTACTCCACTGCTGATGCACTCAGGCCCCGGCCCGGTTTTTCTGTTCAGCTCAAACGGTCCACCCCTCACTAGGGCAGACGTGTAAGATGGACAGAGAGCTGGAGAACATTCGGAATGCAGGGGCCTTCCTGTCCCTGAGGAAGGTGCAGCAGGACTTAGTGCTGCCAAGGCTCGATGCAGGCCGTGGGGAGAGGGAGGCCAGGGCCGAGGCCACCTGGGCTTGGTGCTTTCCCCTCCATCACCCAACTCCCTGCAGCAGAGCCAGCAGCAGAAACCGCCAAACCTTCTAGTGGTGCAGTGGTTAAAGCACTCAGCTGCTAATCAAAACTTTGGGGCTTCAAACGCATCAGCCACTCTGAGGCAGCCTGCTTCTGTAAAGATTTCAGCCTTGGAGACCTGTGGGGCAGTTCCACCCTGTCCTCTAGGGGCGCTGTGAGTGAGTATCAACTCAGCAGTGGGTGTGGTTTGGGCTTTGCTTCTGTGAAGATTGATAGCCTAGGAAACCCTGTGGTGCCGTTCCATTCTGTCCTCTAGGGGCGCTGTGGGTCAGAATGGACTCCAGGCAGTGGGTGTGGTTTGGGCTTTGTTTCCATGAAGACTGACAGCCTTGGAGACCCTGTGGGCAGTT